TAACCCGTAAATCCAGTGAACCAGTCGTTAACACTAAACGTACCGCGACCGGTCAAATGTCCGGTTTTAAAATTCGATTGAAAATTCCGGGCTTTCTATTGCCCGTTTAACTTTATATCAGTTCTTATATTGTCCGATGAATTAGTTTTTCTTCTCTAACTTGTTTACCTTTATTTTGCAATCAGAATTCATCTCGTTACCTTAGAAATAGGTATGTACAAAGTGTCGGTACGTTTAGTGTTAATCAGTCAACTGCGTTTGACGAGTATACACGTCATCTTAAAACTTGAAATAATACTAAGTCTTTCAACGATGAATTCTTTATTTTTTCATATAAACTTAACGTAATTTTTCTTTGTTTTGCTTTGGTTTTTCACTAAAATATACCCTAGATGCATTCGCGTTTGATGATTACATATATCATTTTTTCATTTTATTGCGCGCAAAACGAGAGATTCTTCAAACTAAATTCTACAGTTAACAGGTTAATGTTCGCGAACCTGAATGTCTCCTCGTGCCCGGCGAATTCGCGAGTGTTGCGAACGCCGAACGCGCGAAATGCCGCAATCTAATAGGCAGGTGCCACGCGATCTAGTCCAACGCGCGTCTCTCCCGTTTTAAATCGTCCTCCGAAGGTTGATCGGCATCAGCATCTTTACGAGATCACCAGTTTTAGTAACGGGCACGATCCCATTGAGAAACATCGTTCTGCACAAAGATGGAAACCTTTCCGAAGCGTCTGGCCGTGTTCGACGACCGTTTGCTTGACCGCACGTCTTGTCGTTGCGATGAGTAATCCGAAGAAATCAAATACGTTTCGCCAGTAACAGAATTAATGTTCGATTTACGAACGTTTCTTGTACATTTTATTGTAAATAGAACCGATACGAATCGTATCGTCTTTCCTTCGATGATAAAGGAACAAAAATACTAAAACGTTATACAGTGATACCTCGACTTGGGAACTTAATTTGTTCCAATCCGAAGTTCGTATCTCAAAATCCAGTCGTCCATTATATTATGACTCGGGATTATAAAAGCATCATCGTTTCTCGAAACTAAGTTCGTATCTAAAGGTCAAAATAGAGTATGAAAAAAGTTCGTGTGTCGAAAAGTTCGTAAAACTGTACTAATAAAAAGTAAAAAAGAATCATTAAATCTTGCGTTTGCTAATAGAAAATAAGAAATAAGAAATGAAGAATGTAATACTGCAAAATAATTTTATGTCGATTCGATTCGCCTCGGTCTATCCTATAATTTCTAGAGAAATAGCTGTTCATTTGTTTGAATTTCGAAAATTACAGTTTAAAAAATAAAGAATTACTATTCTCATAGTCGCATCAATCAAAATCGACATAAACTTTCGCCAGACAATGTTCGTAAACTTCAACATCCAAACTGACCGTGTCCCATAAATCTAGTGCTAAATACCTGCGCCATTGTTTTCGCTATCGTTAGATTCCCTGCTTCGCTCAAACTACCGCTGCGCAAACAATGGATTGCGTGGAATTTTTCTACGACTGAACGCTTCTCGGTACGGATGTTAACGATTCCATAATCATTAACAAACGAAAAGCTGCCGGACCACCTGCCGAACGCGATCGATTTGAGTCGACCGATATCAAACCATGCGACATCGAATTTGTGCTCGTTGCGACCGTCTTTTATCGGTCGTTTCCTATCACACACTCTAAACAGAGCGGAAAATTAGGGGCCGACGATAAAGACGCCGATCGGCCGATTTTCAGCCGCTTCGAACCGGTCGAGAGGACGAAAATCCGTTTCCGAACGATAACTCGATACGCCGACTATCGAGAGCCGTGATTGTAACGCTGTTTCGTTTGCATTCCTGCATTGTGTGTCATTTCGGAGCAGTTACACGCGCAATTATACGCAACCGAACCGCGGCGGGGGAGGTTTCTCCGAGCGAAACGCGGACAATCATCGGTCACAATGCGGTGTTTACTATATAAAGAACGAGAGTACGACCAATCCGTGCGACGATTTTTCTGAAAATCTTTTGTTCGGCCGCACATGCGTGTCGTTGCCCCATTCTTAGACTTCCAATGTGCAAAGTACCGATTACAGTGCACTTCGTGAGATCAATGTGTTTTTAACCAGTTAGCTGTTTCTGACGAGTATACTCACGAAGAAATGGCAAGGTTCTGCGTTATGACGAGTATACTCGTACAAAAACAGCTAACTGGTTCAAGGAATATTGATTTTCGAGACAATCAATTTTATAGGTACATATTACTCGAATGAAAATTTTTGAAAAAATTGTTTGTTGATATGAACACGTACTCATACGAATAAGGTACATTTCAAAGAGGTTGCAAGAGCTAAGTGGTTAAACGCCGGAGTTCCCTTCTCATCGAAAGCTAAGTCGATTTTAATTTCATTTCATCATTGCTTGGCGATTATCAGCTGCAAATGCGTTGAGATTCAGTTTTGTAATTATTAATTTGTATGTAGGCACCTTACACTTCTCTGTTGCTATTTTTTCAGTGACGTAACACGGGAACACGAAGCATATTTAGCTTCGTACATAAAAATTTTTTGCCCCAGAGCCCGTAACTGCATTTCCTGCCGCAAAAACTGAGCCATTTAGAGTCGGAAACCACCTGTAGAATGTTATTGTCGGACACATTAGCGTGTTCCCAATTTTTTCACAATCGATTACGCGATTCGTGTGAATTGTATTTTTATGCGCAGATGATGAGGCTCTCGTCGCGATCAAGAAGAATTCCGCGACGTCGCGATGCAATGGAATTCTTGCCGTAATCAAAAATTTCTAATAATTCAGTTTACATCAGAAACGAGTAAAATTCCTAGCAACAATCTAAAATTTCCGATAATTCAATTTCCATCGCGAACGATCACAATTCCTAGCAACAATCCAAAACTTCCAACGATTCAGCTTCCATCACATATGAGTAGAATTCCTAGCAAGAATCCAAAAGTTCCAACGATTCTGTTCCCTTCGCGATCGAGCAAAATTCCCAGCAACAATTCCGAACCCTAAACAATACGATTTTCGTCGCTATCGAAAGAAATTCCTTACGACGATCCAAAACGCTGTAAGATCCGATTTTCGTCGCGATCAAGCGAAATTCTTCGCGGCTAAGAACGTGAAGGATCGCGGCCCGTTCCTCCGCGGGATCACGGCCCGCTGTCACGTTACAAAACGATTCCGGTATGCTCGCGTGTGTCGTTTACGCAAAATAGCCCCCGCAGCTGATTCCTTATCACCGTACTGCAACTTCTCGAATATTCGCGCTGTGGCGGCGACGGACGGCGGCGAACAGCGAACGACTGCTACGTTGCCTTCGACTTCCCGCTATCGGGTCGCCAAACCGAACCGAACCGAATAGGCGATCGTAAAATTCAACGCAAACTCGCTGGTTGTCCGCGAGTGGGACACGTCAGTTTGCGATTGAATTACCGTTACCCGCGTCTCGAATTCGGTGATCCTCGACGGAGGACCTGGCGCGTGCACTGGTATGTACTTCGCGATAAACCATTGTTCACGCATTGTTCTTTGGAAACGGTACGCCTCGTATGCAGGTCAGAGCGATTAATTCCACTTCTTTAATGGTCTCGAACTTCAGCGCTACACTGCTTAATTGATTCTCCATGTACGCAATATGATCGGCATTTTCCACTTTTCATTAGACAGAGTTAATCACTTTGGCCAACATCGATATGATTAGTCACGCGAGTACACTTGTTTTCATTATTTGGAATTTTCCTTTCTAAACTCTTCGTCTCTCGCGCCTCCCACTTGTCGTGACGAATTGGCCAATTATCTGTGATAATCGAATGGTTAATTGAATCTTTGCACTTCTCTAGTGATGATCGTGCTAACATTGTAATCGTGTGCCAACCTGTACCGCGATTTCAGCAGAAACAATAAATTCTTAAGCGACATGATGCGTACCGTTTGCAAGTGGCTTATGCACATAATTTGATGCTCTATCTTGATTGTACGACCGCGCGAGGACAATGAATTATGATGCTCCCTCGCAAACTTTGCGCCGATTTCAGTAGGTTACGAAGGCGCCGTTCGGTTAAGACGAATGGAAATTTTCGTCAATAACGCCGTTATGTTCGACGATCTCTCGACATCTATCATTATCACTTTCACTAAAGAATATTCCGTCTGGTTAACCGTTAAACGTAAATGCCAAGACGTTCCGCGGAAGCTGGCTGTCCGCGCCAAAAACATGCGCAGGAAGTTACGACTTCGTTTGAACGTTCAGCGCGAAAATTACGTTCCGCAAAAGAAGATTTGCAGATTAACGCGTAAACTGCCGCGCAAATCTCAAACGTTTCATTTGAGATTTTCGTAAACAGTTATTCGTAAACGCTTATTCTTTCGTAGGAAAGGTAAACAGGAACAATTATTAATTATTCGACATCGCAATCGTTACGCATTTCTATTCAACATCGGTTATCTTACGTGTTATAATTCTTTTCTATCGATTCAGAAGCGTCGGTTATCGGTGACCGTCACAACAGTAAACGCGCTAATTAGCAGAATCGGAAAAGAAACTACCAAACGAAAATACAAACGGAAGCAGAGCGCAAGACATATTCGAATTCTGGTCTTCGACTAGTGCACGATCCGCGACGATATCTCTTACAGTTAATTTTCGTTTCACCGACGCACGTCACAATTTCGTGTCGCGAGCTCGACAACCTGTTGCCGCCGCCGTTTTCTGTGTATCCCCGATTTCTCGCGGCGGCGGCGACGACGTTTTCCACATCGGCTCCGCTCGAACGCCGATACCCGACGGCTCGAAATGAATGAGGTCGACAGTGATAAATATTAAGTAACTGTGCATATGCGGCTTCATTACGCGGGGCTAGCGCCGATATACATACGTCCGGGCGTGAGCCAATGGAAAAACCGAGCGTTCACCGAGCTGCCTCGAATTTCGGCGGACTCGGAAACCGCTCCGAAACGACGGGGTCCCGTTCGATCGGTGGACACTTACGTTTTAACGATGCGATCCTCTTCCAGCCGCGCGGCGAACGATCTTCCTCGTCGTTCTCCTCTTGTGGTGTCTTCTAATTCCTCGGCCGACACCTTTCAGTGGTCCTCTCCGGGACGCGCGAGTACTCCAACTGGTATCGCGCGCGCGCGGTGTCGCGATCGGTTCTCGACAAACGGGAGCAACGAATCCGCGGCTGGTTTCCCTCGAATCCGAAAATCCCTCGGTCCGGCTCGGCGAACGAGAAAAAAAACCCACTCTCGAGGCGCGATCGTGTCCCGACAACGCTGATTTTTCCTATCCTCCGCTCGTTGCTCCTTCTGCGTTTGGCGGACTCACCGAGGAGGATCGTGCCTGGCGCCGATGCACATCGGGAGGAAACAATCGACACGAGGAGCACGAACCGTCGTCGCGAGAGAAACGACGGGACCCGGGCACAGAACGTCGACGCAGCGGCGATTATTCCGTTCGTTGACGAGCGCGGGGGGGTACGGGCCGGCTGGGTGGGACGGTTGGGGAGGAGAAAAAGCGAAGAGCCGAAATGAAAACTGAAAAAGCGAGGTTCAGCTACATCCGAACTGTTCGGGGGTTCGGAGACAACTGAGCCTACCGGCGGACTTTGGAATCGGTGAGCGGTTCGGTTCGCCGACTCAACTTCTCGAGTTCGAGCCCGTCGTGACCGTTGTTTTCTCTGTCTCTCAATACACGGTACACCAAGTGCACGGTACACGCGGCGCGTTCTACCTTCGCGGCGAGCCTCGCTTCTGTTCCTCCTGTTCTCCTTCTGCTCCTTTTGTTCCTTCTGCCCATGGCTTTTCTGTATTACTAGCCTCGCCTCGCCTCACTTCGCCTCGCTTCGACTCGCCTCGTCTCTCCAAACAGCAGATCCGCGCGCGAGGCAACCAACGAACGAACCTCCACGCACGCACGTGCGTGTCTCGTGACTTGATCGTCCCGAGGATGGGTGCGTGAAAAATCGTGTTCGCACCCTGCTCCGGTTGGGGCCCGGGTCCTCCACGAAAACTTGACACCCGCGCGCGCTCCCGCTGTTAGCTACCTCTTGATGGAACGATAAGGTACACTGCTGGAGACTGAACGTTTACGATTAATTTCTGCTTTCTCGAGAAATGGTTGACTCGGTAGAACCGAGTTTGTCTTTTCGTTCGATTGGTTTCGAATTCTTTTTAGAGTTGAGCTTTTTTAAGGAGCAATGCAACATTGTATAAAATTATAGGAATTTTATGTGAAAATATATGAGAGTGTAGAAAACATAGAAACTATAGAAATTATAGAAAAAAGTATAGAAATACTATAGAAAACTGTATAAAGCTATATAAAACTGTAGAAATATTATATATAACTATATAAAACATTTTAGGATTTTCTGTTTGTGCCTTGAAATCGAAAGTTGTGTGATTTGTTTGTAAACGAATAGAACACGTTTTAATTGTCAGTAGACAGATATAGTTTCTTAGTTGTATTATGGTACATACATTCATTTTATCATTTTTATTATTGCCACCTCGTTGAGATACTTAGTTTTCTATTTAAACCAGAAAGGTATTATTAAATTGATTTGCAAACAGTTGACGTCTGATGACTCGCTGGATCGAATGTCTCCTCGGTACTTTCGTGCAAAAAGATAAATCCGTGGATTCATTCTCATAAATCTTACGTTGGAAACGTTTTTGTCGCAGGAAAAGAGAACACATGCTGTTGCAGTGCATTCTAACACGATTCTCAAACTAATTATTGTCAGTTTTGGAGATACGAGCATAAACAAGAATTCAATCTTATTCATCGTACTTACAATTAATAGGAAACGTTTGGGTTATAGATTACTCAACCCGGTGGCCGTAAAACAGCCATCAATCGGTTACTATTAGATTTCATGATTATAAGCTACAGTTATTGTCTTATTTATTCTACTACAATCTTAACGCCAATTTAACAGAAGTGTAATTAACACCTACAAAATTTGCATAACATTACACGCGTAGGATTAAAAATATTCCTGCTCACACCACAGAAACCAAGCCCTAGCTGCGATAACACGTACAGGTAAAAGTTGTCTAGGATCAGCTCCCAGATAACATATTTCAAGGTCATCGTTGATGAGGCTTTCCCAAATAACTACCACCTTTCTCTGTACTCCAGCAAACAACATTGTCCTTCGAGCGGTGACTCATGTGAAAACCATACAGCCTCGCCTATCGATCTGTACTCGAACTAAATTAAGCCACATTCCACGAAATCCTTTTTCTCTCGCTCGTTATCCCGTTCCACGATTATTCAAATGAACGCTGTCCATAAATTCCCATCCGTGTCCTATTAAGCGCGACATGTGTCTTCGCTCAGTCGCTGACTCAAATAATAATCACGCGGTCGAATTAAAATTCACTACCGTTCGAATAATTACGAACGGTACTCCGTATGATAACCATATTAAAGTGCAGGAAAGGCCGCCACCGGCGGTGCACACGGACGGTGCATACGAGCGCGTTAATATGCCTCCTTTGTTGTGCAGCGAATTAGTACGTGATCGGTGGCCACTGCGCGTCCTGTCGGTGCCGCAACCGACTGGACGCAGACGTTTCTGGTGAGAAGTGTCGAATTGCTTCCGAAGAGTTTTATGGTTTCTAACCTGGGAAATCTGGTCGCGCCGGCCGAGCGACCTTGCCCCTTTCTCCCGTGCTATGAAAATTTTCCTCCTATTTCGTCAGAAAAACGGAACACACGTACTGTGTGTTGTTCACGAGAAGAGCTCCGAAACAGCGTAGAGGCAAAATGGAAGCGGTCTCTCGCTATGTTTATTGTAAAAGCTAATTAATTAAATCCGCTTTCCTTACAGGGATCATCTCCTGAACAACCCTCAGTTACAGGCATATGCGCGCCAACCGAGGGGGGAATTCGAAGAGTTTGCTACCGTTCGCGGGAAACGCGTCCGTTCCGTCTTCCTGTGCCGCGCCGGTGATGCAACGAGGATCTAGTACAGACGACGTAACAAAATCCAAAGCTCGTATGTTAAGTTGATCCTTGAAGCTATCCCCGAGGGACCGTTCGCGTGCCCATCGGTATTTTTCCATTGCACAATCGCCGACGGAGCCCATCGCCGGCCGGCTGATAAAAGAATTCTAGGGACACCTTGAACAGAAACGACACCACACCTCGGATGGGTGTTTTTAAGGGTCCCTTCTACACGGAATACGAAAACGAGCGGACGTTTCCCGTCGGTTTCGACAGTGCGACGACACGATCTTGTTTATCGGGATGTCTGATCGAGAAAGAAACAGGGGCGGCGGATCATTGCAAAATTGCTTTATTATTCGTTACATCGATATTTTGTCGTCTGGAATAGAAATTTGTGGCTGAAATTTAACCAAGTAGGCCATGGCTTTGTAGGCCAATCCGTGGGATTATGACATCAATACATTTTACGTAACGCCCGTTGAACGACAAACGCCTAAGTTGGGTTAATATTCAGGATGCACCACCGAATCGATCAACCGAGCAGATTATTCACGAGCTCCGTCATTCGCACGTTCGAGAGATATCCTGCTCGGAGAATAAGAGATCGGCACGGGTTTCGATTTTCGGGCGTGATCCTTCGTAGCTTGAACGCCATTTTCTTTTCCTTTTTTGTTCTTGGATTGATGAAAGTGATCTTGATTCGGAATGAAAATCGGTTACCGTATGAAATATTGCGCATTGTTTTCGACTGTGCCAATGTTTTGTATTCATCTTTACGGGGACTTTAGTAATGAATTATTGACTGTTCAATGTGATTCGAGATTCGAATTATTTTATTTAAATACGTGTAACGGTTACATGCCAGAATTTACGTTAATAATATTATATATTATGAACTAAAAAGAACCAACTACGTAGTTATACTATTCTTTTAATTGAGACATTCAGTTAAAACCTAAGAATATTGTGTCAAGCGAGGAAACCGCAGAAGAAAGATGAGCAATCGTAAAGACATAATTACGAAATTCGTCATGCCAAATGCTTTGCAAAAACAGCACGTAAAATAATAATAATACGGTTTATTGTCAATTATCATGAATACTTTATCACCTGATTAAGATCGTTATGGATTAATTTTGTAATGGACTTTGCATATTTAAGCGTAATAGTTTGCATTTGGTTGAGTAATATCGCAGTTTATTTATATAAATTATATAATGCAATATTATAAATAATGATATACTACAACATAACAACCGAATATTCTTAATGAACTCAAATAAACATTTGTGTAAATATTTCTTTGCTTCAATTATAATTTTCAATCATTAATTATGTAAATTATAAAAATTATAAAAACTAAATAGATCATAAAACGAAGAAACGAAGGAACTTCGGCGACATGTTTGTCTTCTTACTTATTCCATCTATTATGGCAATGCTATAACTTCTTATGTATTATATATAAGCGTTTATCATACACCACGGCTCAACAGAACAAGTATTTTTTTATAAACTAATTGTGGAGCATTATTGGCCCACAAAAAATCTATGTGGTTGAACTTCTTATATGGCACTTTGTAGACCATTGCCTGTTGCGGTAACTCATGCACTAAACGCGCTACATCCTGCAAAAAAAACATCGTCAGTACTATATCATATATATATACTCATAAATCTATAAAATTCTATTCTATACATACCTCAGGAGCAGACAACCAATCATTACTACCACAGAACATTACAATTGGTACCGTAATCTTCGACAAGTCATAATTAGGTGGTGAAGTGCTTTTATAATAAAGTACATTTCGTAATGGGCCATAATCAAATTGCCTGAAGTATCCGGATTTAATTTCTTGGGCGTAATGGATCATAGTCTTAGTTGAGGTACCCGCTGGCGTATGGTTCAAAATCGTGGGCAACAACGACTGAAATTTAAATAAAACACCGTAACACGCAATACTCGCATACAATGTATCGCGCAATAAATGGCTTTATAAAATAATTACATAATCAAATTGGTCCGCGTCGAATCCAGCAATAATGAACATCATGTTGGCGCAAATCTTGTTTTGCCAAGAAAAAACGTCGCACATAGTTTTTGCCAGAAATTTAATAACTTTACTCTGTGGCAGGAATTCGGTTTCTCCGAGCAGAGAGAAAATCGTCTGATTTTTGAAAGGAAAACAGATAAATTGTTTCAAATCGTATATCTGAAGAACAAGATGCAAAAGACACGACGAGAATCCGTCGAACGTATTACCTTAAAATTTGTTGCTATTGGTGCAAAGTATTTCAAAGGGCTTTCCACATGCTTCATGTAGACCACTGGGGCCAAATTATACACGGACTGCAGATACTTTGTCACTTCCGGCCGCTCGGTAGCCATCACATAGAAACATGTTGTCCCCATAGAGAAACCGATGTACGCTCTCAGATTCTGTTGTTTGTATTGTGCTACATGTTTGATCATCGCTGGTAAATCGTAAATGCCTGATTCATGCCAGCTGTAGGGACAATTAAAAAAAAAACATGATGGAACCTGGATTATCAAAATTAAACAGAAGATAAGAAGATTAATCGGACGACAATGTTTGAATCCAAAAACTTGCGTTCATTTTGCAATATTCAAGTGTGAAGCAAGAATGAAAACCACATTAAACCATAAACTGAATTATTCAGTTTGTCTCTTCAATTCTTTTTCTGATCGGTTTATTTTTTTTTTAAAGACTGACGAAACGTTTTCGTCTTGCGCTTCGCGTGAGTCGCATGAGAAGCGATAAAAGTTTCACGTTAAAAGTCCACACGTATTATTACAACATAATATTTTCCTATTGTCGTTCGATCATCCGTTTATCGAAATCTTTCAATCGCAACAACGATCATTTACTAAGAATACCTGAAGTCCCAAAACTTAGGGTCGAGAGTAGTCAAACTAATATGCGCCCTTGAATAAGTATTTCCACGGAAATTACCAAGCCAGACATCGTAACCTTGGTCAGCTAATAGATAAGCTACAAAAGAAAATAACGAAATAATATGCTAACAATCTTAAATTATTAAACATACGGGACAGAGTATTAATAGGATCTCACGCTTTTTAACTGTACAGCTTTCAACGAAATGGATAAGGAACACTTAGAAAATACAAGATTTGTCTTAGACGTCAATATATAATAATATGTACGTCATTCCAAATATTAGTCTATAAATTAAACCAATAAAGTTTTGTACAACATTAATGATGTTTATTCGCACCATTCGGAATAATTTCCTTCGGAAGAAATACTTTGTTTTAGGTCATTTATGATGCTTCACTATCAAATAGTCTGAACAACTCTCTTTGCTTTAGATTGAAAACGAAAATAAAAGAAAATCAATTCTATATAATTTTGAACATTCAAAACTATTTCAAATAATTTGCAATAAGAACCGTCAATTCGTTTCAAAGAGTGATCATCGCAAACCTTTAATTTACAATTCTTTTCGTAATAGAAAAATAATAATTTACATATTACTATTTCCATATTACATTGTTGATATTACCATTTACATATATATTACATATGAATCGCGAAAATTGTTTATTGTTTATTCTTCACTGCAAGTTTGATTATAACGCACGAGCTCATTGCCGTTCATAAATTTCAAACAACTGCGTATGCTACTTGAAGTGAATCTAGGTAATGCCCGATTGTACTTATCTCGTTAGTATTTCTTTTTATCAAAGTATATGAATAATTCAACGCTCAGCAACTTAAATTCTTCTGCAATTCATAAACAAATAAATGTTTATACCGAGAGCTTTTCCTTTTCCAAGAATAACCCAATCAGCGGAACTACCAAGTACACCATGTTGCAAGAAAATCGCAGGTGATCCGGGATTCCCACGGATTCGATGCATTGTTAAGAGGTAGCCGTCTTCCGTTTCCACAGTATGAGCTTCAGCTGGATATCCTTCCTCCGTTATCATTTCCAACTGAAAAATGCAATAAGGTGTCATAAAATGATACCTTAGGAATGACAACGTCAATAATAATTATCATTTATGAATCGTAAAAATATATTACGATAAATACTGCCATTTATATTTATTTGAATATACATCCCACAAATTAATATTTGATTTCATGTCTAATTTTTCTTTATGAGACAGTAATTTTTTCATTTCGTTAAGATTAACTGTGTAAGTTAAGTCATAGGTCATTATAGATATCTAATCAAAAAGAAATATGATAATAGCCGTTTTATATTATACGTCTACATATATACAAATACAAAGTATTGGGTTTGTCGTTTACAGCATTTGGGAAATATTTATTTTCTGTTATTGAGTACGCAACGTTTGATTTAAATTAATTATATTAGAGTTGTAAATATATTACTCGATTAAATCGCAAAATATTTAATAAGTAAAATGTAATTTAAAAGGAAGAAAAGGAATAACATAATACATTAAAAATTCAATTCAATTAAATAATGAAATATGTATATGTTTTAACAAATTTTGGTACATTTTTTATATTTTTTAATTAGCAAATATTTCTTGTATTCTGCTTCTTGCAGATTAATTTGCAGAAATAAAAATGTCTATACACGCATACTCTGCGTGGAAGCAAATTTTAATTTTTGTCAGATTTGCATGAAATTAAATTATTACATATACACTAGGAAGCTTAAAGTAGTAATTATTCGCCATTTAATTACGTATTAATGACTGTACGCTGATCTTTTTTTATTTATTTAAAATATAATCTCATTTATGAAATTGAAAAATTAATCGCGTACAAATATTATTATTTTTAAATAGTTACACAATAACACAATTCAAATATCCATCTAAAATACTTTAAGGCCCTCTATTGCTTTTCAAAATACCAAATACTTGTTTCGTAACAGAAGCGGCAATTTTAAAAGAAAAATAATAGTTTAAGAAATTCTACTTACCGTGTTAAGATTATCATTCGATCTAGAACTTGATGGAATCATATTATCAAAATCAGACGATGTTGTGTTAAGTTCCTCGGCAATAGTAGAAACGATGCATGAGCATAAAAGTACGACGATTAACCCCGTCATTTTGAACATTTTTATTTTTCACAACACAAACCCGAAAAGACAATGTGACAATAAGCAGTATAAACTTTATGTAATTTAATTTGTTACAAATGTAACTGTTGTCCAGTAATTATAATTGTTCTTAAGTATTGTGGTTATGTGTCAATACTATTAATCCAATGTCTATCAATGATGATGAAGTACTGTCTGAAATACAGATAGCACTAACTTTATATGCATAATTTATACCCTATAATTAGTCACTGACGTGATTCATTATTCCCCGCATTACTATCCTATCGTGTTAAACAATTCATTTATTTACTTTTTTTATTAAAGATAGCAAATTTCCCCTTTACCGTACGTCAATTTTATGACGTCAGTACGATTTATAAATGCATACGGACTTTATAATATCTGAATTTGTTAATATATATTGTGTCTTTTCTTGATATTTTTCAATATTCAAAACTGGAAATATTTATTTTAATTTCTGTTCCAGTAACTTATACTTATCTGTACCACATATATTATTAATAATACATATTAAATACAAAATAAAGAATCAAAATTTTGGCGGCATTTTTTCATTATAGCTTAATAAGATAATCACATAAAATTCATTAGCAAGTAACTATCAAATAATTTTATACAATTCAATAAAATTAGTTTATTAAAAAACAATAATAAATCAATGATTATGAATATATTTCCTCACTTTGGTTTAGATTATTTGTTTTCAAAAACATATCACTGTCACATTTTGGGGTTATGTTTTAAAAAATTTTATACGCATACAAAGATGTTTTCCACTGTCTTCTTCTTCGGGGAATCATATTAATATACTTGTTAAATAACAGATATTTCAATTATCTTGCGAAAAAAGTTTTAAAAAGAGCAAAACTTTCGAACGAGGAAAGTTGCGTGCTGTATATGTTTAGTAAACGTTATCATTTGAAACTTTGTATAACGTGTGATACAATATACATTGTAAATACTCTTATGAATAAATACATATTAATAAAAATTACTTTGTTGTAAAATATTCCGTAAACTTATACGGTGCATTAAGGAAAAAAGAGGTGACTTTTTAAAAAATGACATTAAGAAGTACTTTCAATAAAGAAGTATATATTTCGATATAGGTTTGATTGCATATGTCTGTTATACTGGTATCGAAAATAATTCAATAACATTATTTGTATTTCAAATATTATAAGATCAAAATAACTATTTTATACAAAGCATTTTAAATTAACGAGTAAAATACGCTTAAACTTAAAATTCTATAAATATATAATAATACTTATTTTGTACTGTACTTTAAAATAACTTATATTTTAATTTCAGCATAGTAAAATGAATGAAACTACTTTACCCCCTTCACCAAATTGGTATTTAAGCAATATTCTAGCTTGTTCTTTTAATGGAACTGTTGCATGGGGTGCTAGAAATACAATTGTTGTCGTTAAATCTAATCAAAATGAAAAAGCATTACAGTATTCCATAATACAACATGCTCACAAAAACAGGGTGACTTGTATTGCTTTCACTCCTGAATTTGAGGAAGCAAACAATAACTTAATGGCTTCTACAGGAGATGACATAATTAAAGTATGGGATTTAGAAACATTATCTGTAGTTTATAATTATTCTTTCGAAACAGTAAGTTTATACTTTATTTAATATACAATAAATACATAATTCATATAATTTCATAATTAAATCTTATTTATTGTTCTTTTTCAGGGTAAACAAGCTATAGGCGTAGATTGGTCTTATAAAACTCCTTTCTTATTATATTCGGCAAGTTCTGATGGATACATATTATCATGGAATGTTCATTTTAACGTTACCTCTATCATCTCATTGGGAAAAGTAGCACCTACTTGTATTTCTTCTTGTCCGCATCATTCTCACCTTGTGGCAATAGGATCTAAAAGTGGCTTAGTTTATATAGTTAATTTTGAAGGAAAAGGAACAATAACATATAAATTAAGAGGACATGATACAGAGATCGTTAGTTTGTCTTGGTGTCCTTCAGAACGTAATGTGATAAATGGAAATCATAATAAAGACTTACTTTTAGCATCTGGCGGGAAAGACAGGTAATTCAATAAGTTGTCACAATTACAAGTTGTGTATGACAGTAGTACCATAAACTTTTTAAGACTTTTTAAGTATAAAGTTATAAGTTTCTATTCGCAGATCAATTTATATTTGGAAAGCTGGTGGAGATGGACGTTATGAAACAATGATTTCATTGCCTGTGAATCCCATTGATACTCGTCAACACAGAAGTAAATTAAATTCAACTGTAGGTAACTGGATTACTATACGTTGGATAGAACCTAAATTATTGCTTGCAAGTTCCTTGTGGGGTGAATTAATTTCTTGGGATTTATCAATAATGACAAAGGGCAAACCTACTTGCAAATTAATACATGCGTGTCATAGTAGAGGTTTGTTTTGTATTGCACATATATCAAATCTACAAGAAAATCTGCTAGAAGATTGGAGAATCAAAAACAGGTTCCTATTGGAAAACTAATTCTAGAACTTGATGTACAAAATAGTTATTATAAGAATGCTTTTAATGAATTCCAGACATAAAATTTGGACATTGGCACAAGATCGCAGAGTTATTTGCTGTACAATAGAAGAAAATAATGTTGATATAGAATATGACATTTACACACAAGGTGGATACATATATTGCATTGCAGCTTGTCCGTTAGATACTTCACATATTGCATTTGGAGTAGGAGATTCAATGATACGATTATGGAATTTATCAGAAGCGCATATTAATTCTTTTGATATAACAATTTTATGGCAAAAAATTATGGGGAAGATTCGTGCAGTAAGAACATATTTTTGACATTATTTATGATATAATAACAGAGTATAATACAATTTCCATTGCACCTAGATATCATGGCATCCTGAGAAAGAAAACTTGTTAGCATATGCAACTGAAGAAGGTCGAATTGGTGTTTTTGATACAAATGGTAACAAACCACCTACTTTATACAGACAATATCATAGAAATACAGTATATACCATTCATTGGGGTCCACATCCAGAGAGTAAGCAGCATGTTTTGTACTCCTGTGCTGAAGGAGAATGTGTATATTATGATCCTGTGAAACCAAATCAAGGTAACGTCTTACATGTTTTGGTTAAAAATAAGTGGTAACTATGTTAATTATTGAAATTATATGTTTTAATTGATATAAGATTATCCTTTTCACTAGAACCTACATCTATATTTAAAAAAGATTGTACAGAATTCACTTGGAAGCCAGATTTTTCATGTTTAACAGTAGGATTTGAGAATGGGTAAGTTCTCAAATGTATAATATGCATTAAATGTGTCAAATCTTCTTTCAATTTATGCTTTCGATCATTTCTCAGATCAATTTCATTTCTCAATCGGAAGTTCGAACTGTGTGGGTTTGCTAAATTTTCTTCTGCCATGGTGCATTGTTTAGTGTGGCATCCAGAGAGTACAGCAACAGATTCAACATATTCTCCACTAAGAAATTATTTGGCTGTTGCTTTTGAGTCGCCCACAATAATGGTCTTTGACTTATCCAATTTTATAAATCATTTAACAAAATTAACAGATCCAGCTGAAAATGATAATGAAAAAAAATGTGAGGCTTACAAAGTACACGAAGTTGTAGCTACCTTAACTGGGCATGTTAAAAATGTTGTTTGTTTAGCATGGAATCCTTATATTAGTGGACAGTTAATATCCGGTAGTTATGATTCTACTGCACAAGTAAGATAACATATAAAGCTTTGTAAATATTATATTAATAATTTCTATAGAAAAAGATTTATACATTTTGTTTACATAAAATCTATTGTTCTTTAGGTATGGAATGTGGAAACGCAAGAATTAATAGCCACTTACAAAGGTCATACTGGTCCTATACTGTGTTGTATGTGGAGTCCATTACATTCTGATTATATCATAACAGGCTCAATAGATTTTACTGTACAAGTGTGGAAAGTTACATGCAATAATGCCATAACTCCACCAGAAGTATTACATAAAAATCCAGTTAAAAAAAATAAAAAAAATCAGATTAAAACAAATAAAGCCACTGATCCTTCACTTAATAATGGTATAACAGAATTGACTAATGCCATCTCAGAGTGTTCAGTTTCGAATGTTTCTCAATATCCGCAAAGTATGAGAGCAATATTCTTTGTTATACTATTATAATTGTGTTCTTTTGGAATATCAATAATAAAATGTTTATTTCAGAATCAAAAGCGTTATCAATGAAAGAAGTAAAAAAGAAGAAAGGCGAAAGAACACCATATTTTGCTAAAAGTACTAAAATAATGAATAATAAAACACATTTGCTTAATTCTCTTATAAATATTTCAAAGAATGTAAAATATGAAAATGAAAACATTGAACAACATCAAGATACATATTATATGCAACCATTATTGTTTTCGTCAAAAGATAATTTCATGTCATTTCTTACCACCGACAGTAAGTAATTTATTATTATGTTAAAGTATATATGGAAGATTATCATGTTTATCATTGTGAACTTACAGAAAATGCTCACATAGAGGAACGAAGACATAATGTAGTTACAGAGATGGATGTATGGTGTGATAATCTTAAACAAAATTTAGATGAAGCTGCCAAAGAAAATCGCCTCAATGACTTTCTCGTTTCACTTTCAGCTAGTTTATCTATGAAGTATGCAATCTCACTTATTTATTATATAAAGTGTGATTAAAATTATGGTGAAACTAATAATCTAACAACTATATTTTAGAACATGGAAAGAAATGTGTGAATTATATGCATATCAATTAATAAACGAGGGCAACCCTTATAAAGCAGTATCCTACTTACTTTGTATACATAAAACGTACAAAGCAATAGAAGTGTTCCAGAATGTAAATTTACACAAAGAAGCATATGCTCTCGCAAGATGTAAACTTGAACCTGACGATCCAATTCTAATCGATATATTACAAAACTGGGCCAAATATACCGCGCACGTTGGCTGCTTTGAAGAAGCAGCATACATGTAACTTTTTACATAATTAAAAAGTATATTAAATGCTATGTTCTAATCTAATTTTATAATTACGTTTTTAGTTACATTAAATTGGGAGATTTTCCTAATGCAGTAAAATATCTTGCGCTGCGTAAAGATGCAAATACTCTGACAACCGCAGCTGAAATTGCAGTTTTATGTGATGATGATAATCTTAGCAAATCTTTAGCTGAGGAAGCATCAATTGTAGCTTTAAAAAATTTACAATATGATTTAGTTCGAGATATAATCACAAAGTTTGAACATCTTAAGGTATATTCATATCGCATAATCATTTCTTCCTTTAAATATTTAATAGAATAATTACAAATTTTAATGTGTTTTAGTATCGAGAAATACATATAATAGTTTTCGAAGAACTTCAGAAAGTAATTGAAAGGAATGTAACAGTCGAAACAGTTCAAATGTGGTTAAATGGAGAATTGAATGATGGTGTATTGCGTGCTTTAGAAACAACTTGTAAAGATTATTATTCTTATTACAACGATTTATGTCAAGGAAATTTCTGCAGTACTTTTGAAGATGAGCAGATGGTATATATAATATTTTATGTAAATAATACAATTCAAATCAATTGATTCATAACATTAAAAAATTTTCAATTTCAGTTATGGTTAGCTGTTAGCTACAACATTGCATTGGCAATCATTTCTCCTGAAAAACAACAGCAATTAAAACACATTGTTACTGCATTAAGTAACATTGCACAATTCGAAACATTGAATCGAAAAAATTTAAAAAATCAGTATAATGTCTTAATGGAAATTATTGTAAAGTTGGATACTAAAGATCCAACAAATATGGAAAGTATTTATACAAAAACTGATTATCCTGTGTCGATTAGTTTACGAGCATATTTATGCTATGCTTTTTTGAACTGGCTTGTAGATAATATAGATGAAGAGACTGTTAACGTGAATATACACGTTTACATCAATTTAATAGAAAACTTGATTGAGGATGTTCTAAATAAACAAATAGTGAAACAATGCTCAATAAAAAATGAAATTACAAAACTAGAACGTCAAGTAGCATCTGCATTGTGTAAGTCATATAAGTGTAAGTTAAATAATTTATTTTTGTTTCAACTAAAGAACGCGTTAATTTCTTTATTAGGTAAAACACCAAAGGACGATATAAATGAGGAAAATGCAGAACTTCTTGTCCAAAAACTGAATATGTTAAAAATTGAAAAGAAGCAACTTCTGGATGAAGTAGTTTGTGTTCCTAATCCAGTTATGGTATACAGCAAAGCAAACGAATTGGGCAGTAAATTGTTGGATGAAACTCTTAAAACTAAGTTTCTGAATGTAGTTTCTGAAGCATGGACAAAAGCCACCTCAGAAGTAAAATTTTAAACGCGCTTAATTTTTCTATAAATAATGACTCAACAGATAGGACGTTTCTTATTGGATTAATCGATACAAGTACAAAAAGATTAAGACATAGATTCCTCACTACACTTACATAATTAAAAAATTATGTAACTCGTTTGACAATATATCCAACTTCTGATAAGGATAAATTAGAAAAATAGGAGTTATTTATATAAATTAACTGTGTTACAAAATTTTTTATTTTAAAAAAATAATACAATATATAACAAATTATTAGTGTTTTTTAATTCAGACTTACTTTCCAAAAACGAATCTCTCTATCACTTGCAGCACAAATATATGGCAACTCATAATGCCATGTTATTCCACCTATCAATTTAACTTGTCCGCATAGTATTTGTTCGTTAGATTTTATATTCCTTACTTTTAATAAATTATCTGGTCTACCAATGGTTGCTACTAAGTGATCGTAAGCAAGAGAAAATTTTACTATTAATCCACCTTCAATATGAAGGGGACTCGATTCTTGAGGTAAACTAAAAATTAAAGAAAATACATGTTTAATGTAAAACAACTATTGATCAAATAATTTTCTATAGTTTAAATTTATTCAAGTTACCTAAGTTTAGATATATCCCATAGAAGTAATTTCCCTGCAGCTATACCAGCTATTTTGAAAGGATTAGATCCCCAATCAACTGACATTAAGGGAACAATATCTGCATCAAGGGACATAATTGCTTGTTGACTTCGTACATCATACATGTGAATCAATCCATTTTTTTCTCCTACAAGGAGTTTGCCAGGTTTTTCAGAGTGAAAACGTATAGTCATGCCAGGTGATGTTAAATTCAATGTAGAAATACATCTTCCTTCTTCGTTGACTGCCCAGAGTTTACACGTATGATCATCAGATACAGAAGCTAATATTTCACCTTCAGTTTCGTAACAAATTGAATTTACATAGTCCTTGTGCCCTTCCATCTTATATTATGAGAGAAAGAATATTATTATTATTATTATTAGTTATAATGTTAATGGTGTATTATTTTCGAACTAAACATATTTCATCAATAAATGCATTATTTTACCTCCCATATAATATTATCAGATATGTTACTACAATATAATCTTATTTTAAAATCTGCTCCAGCAACACAAAACTTCAATACTTTTGGTACTACACTCAAGCAGGTTTCTGGACTCCAAGCAACTGCATGTGGTCTAGTTTTATGACGGAATGTTCTAAAATGATTATATGCAATATCTTCCACTGTTTCATCTTCATCCTAATAATATATAAATAATAACGTTCATTTACTAAATTAATAAATTTCTTAATTGTTAAAGCCATTTTCATGTTGAAAATATATTTAATTTTTTAAATGAAACAAAAATATTTGTCATGTGAAATGTATCTTTCGAATAATATATAGGACTGATTACTTTTATTAATTAAAACGAAATACTTTTACTTGTATTTATTTCAATATCTAATTTATTTCATGCTTTAATGACATTTTAGATATTTCTATTTCAAATTACGTACAAGTCTGATTTAAATTATATTCGGTTACATACATAAAAGTCTTTACCTGAAACTTAATAGTACCAATAACAATTTCTTCGGCAAGGGCAATACAAATTAAATGTTGAGACCATTCATATGGTGAAAATTCAACACAATAAATTTGTTTAGAAAATTGTAATTGAAACGTAGGCGGTGTAGTCAAAGCTTCATCCATCCTGTATTCGTATTCTCGCTCCCAATATAGTTATATTCGTATTAAAATTGACAAAAGATCGCCGGCATAACCTTCAAAATTTCACGAAGAAAGTAGACTCTTCAAATTTAAAAATACAAATTTTAAGAAATTTTAAGTGAACAGTAAATGATAATTAGTAGTATCTACTTTAATGTATCAATTTATTTATAATACGATTATTTTGTGTGTCATTATGTTACAATTGCGATTGTAATGTTGTATAAACATAAAAAAACATGCGAGTTTTCCAAGGTGAGGTTAGGTTGAATTCAAATCATCTAGAGGGCAGTAGGTATTTTACGTATGGTATATGTAATCGTTCAACGTGCCGCGTATCTCTCGGAAACGAATTTATTTTGCTAAGTACAAGATCAGGGTTCGTGCACGCCGCGAATTTTTGACTCCTGGAGCAACAACCAGATATGAATTGACAGACCGTATTGGCACAAATCTTGCCAAACTATATCTTCGATCCGTCTCGATCCACGATCGCGTTACAAGGTGAGTACTTTCTGTCAAGGCATGCTGACCAGAACATGCTGTGCACACTTCACAAGCTGCTTCGCCTCGTGTTTTCCTATCATTTTAATTACATCATTTTGTATCATCTGCGTTTTATGTAGAGTTTTATTAATTCATGTAGGCTAACGTAATATACACAAAGCGGTAATACTTTTCACGAAACACGTTCAGTTTTGTAAGTTTGTTTCCAATTTTGAATTTTAAAAAAAGGAGTATTATTTTTGTAAATTTTGAACCTTACCTGCTATTTTGTTCTTTGTGTTCTTATCATTCAACAAGGTATGTGTGTCATTTATAGACATCATGTACAGTGAACACAAAATAAAACTTTATTTAATATGTATATGTAATATTTATAAAAATGCTTGCAGTAAAACATGAATGAGTTATTGGATTTTATCATTTGAAGTTGAAATTAATAAATCAATAATATTTCTTATACATATAATTTATAGGTAAAACATTTTAGTATCATTTCTTTACTAAACTGTGGTTTTTACTTGAGTCTTATAAAAACATAAGTCAATTATCATTTGTGTAAAATATAATGAATCTGCTTTTTGATTACTCATTTAATTATATTTATTATTAAGCACGATCAATTTATTATGTAATTATTTTATTAAGTTTAAGCTAGATAAAAAATATGTGAAAGAAACCTTATAATTTATGTATTCTGTAATAAAATAATAGACAATTAAATTGTGTAATGTGTGTGTTTTATTATCAGAAATAAAAAAATTGCATATATTTGATTAATTTGAACTATTCTTTTGTCCATTGTGATAAATCAAATATATTTAATAGAAAAATAAAAGTATAAACTTATATAAAAAATTATATTACATCATTATACTTTCAATTGTTTCAGCGTAATAGATAGGGATGGAGTTCGGAGTGGGCGATGTTGCCCAAATATCAGCAGAACTTGCTCAAGTAGTTGAAGTAATGATGTCTCCAAATGTGCCGCAACAGCAACGTTTGGAAGTATATAATGCTTGTGAACGATTTAAAGAATCTTCTCCTTTATGTGCACAATGTGGATTATATCTAGCACAGAAATCACCAAATAGAAGTTCTGTAGTTCGTCATTTTGGATTACAACTTATGGAGCATTGTATTAAATATCGGTGGACTCAGATATCGCAATCAGAAAAGATATTTATAAAGGAAAATGCAATGAAACTGCTTCAAGAAGGTACAGAACCATTGTTGCAAGAAGAAGCTCACATTAAAGATGCATTATCTCGAGTTGTGGTAGAAATGATAAAACGAGAATGGCCACAACAATGGCCTACACTTCTTGCTGAACTTAGTCAAGCTTGTACAAGGGGTGAAAGTCAAACTGAATTAGTTCTTCTTGTGTTTCTAAGGCTTGTGGAAGATGTTGCACTTCTGCAAACATTAGAATCCAATCAAAGGAGAAAGGATATATATCAAGCACTTAACACGAATATGGCTGAGATTTTCAGCTTTTTTTTGAGATTGATGGAACAACATTTTTCAGAATTTCAAAAGAAAAATAGCTTAGGGTGCACGTCTGAAGCAGCAACACATAGTAAAGTTGTACAGGTATATTTAACATAACAATTTTAAAGAATAAAAATTACAAGTTTAATATATAAAAATTTTACTCGATTGCTCTTATTTGATAGGTAGTATTGTCTACACTGACTGGATTTGTAGAATGGGTTTCTATTAATCATGTCATGGCGGAAGATGGTAGATTATTGCAAATATTATGTCTTCTACTGGGAGATCCAATATTTCAGTGTTCAGCAGGTGAATGCCTGTTACAAATTGTAAATCGCAAGGGGAAAGCTGAAGATAGGAAACAGTTAATGATACTATTTTCCGAAGATGCTCTAAGGTATATTTATGCAGCAGCAACTGCCGCACCACCTGTTACTGGGTCAAATGAATTTATCAATTCTTCAAATAACCATTACCTGTTTTTAAAAAAACTGACACAGGTAAATTTTATTCTGTTTCTTTTTGATAGGAACGAAAATGTAACATTAGCTTATTCAACATATGCGTAAATTACTTTTCTCTTTAATCAAAGCATAAAGAAACTAATAGCAATTATGAATTTAGGTATTAACTGGAATGGCAACTCAACTCTGTACACTTTGGGGTAAAGATGATGGTTCTAGTATTAGACCAACACACTTCAACATATTTTTGGACACAGTAATGACTTTTACCATGTCTTCAAGTTTAACACTGATACACATGGCAAATGCAATCTGGATAATGTTATTTAAACATGAACAAATAAAACAGGATCCACTGTTGTTAACTTACATACCAAAATATGTAGAAAGCACAGCTCCGAAATTAATAAAAGTTGCGTATCCAAGCGGTAGACAAAGTAATGGAATGAGCACTTATTGTCTTGCCGATTACGATTCAGAAGAAGAATTCAATGTATTTCTTCATAGATTCAGAACAGATTTATTGGAAGGATTTCGGCAGGCAACAATGGTAGCACCATTAGTAACATTTACTTATGTACAACAATGGCTAACGGCTAAGATAACAAAAGGAATGGCAGATCTTGGATACAAAAGTGATCTGAATGATCCACAATATCAAGAGTGGGAAGCTCTTGCACAAGCTTTGGATTCTGTTGTATCCAGAATTTTATTGATTAATGAACGACCAAGTGTACAAACTGGCTTACAACTGTTAGAATTATGTCTCGGTTATTCTCCCCAAGATCCTTGGTTATTGTCAGCTTTGCTGTCTTGCATTAGCGCTCTATTCGTTTTTCTGTCCATGTCAACTGGTTCAATGGCTATGCCAGGAGTAGCTATTCTACCAAGAGTGCTGGAAAAGATTTTTGCTGCTTTGGTATTCGAAGCACCTGGAGAAACGAAGGGTACTCGATCCAGGGCAGCTAAAAATGTAAGACGTCACGCAGCTAGTCTCATGGTCAAGATTAGTTTGAAATATCCATTATTACTTCTGCCAGTTTTTGATCAGATACATACAATGGTTCGTGGATTAGCGAGAGAACCCAGTTCTTTATCCAAAATGGAGACTATCACTTTATACGCTGCACTGTTATTGATATCAAATCACTTCTGCGATTATGAAAGACAAACTAGATTTGTTGCTGAAGTAATTGGTGAAGGATCAACAAAATTTATTGCTCTTGGATCTGAAGCATTTAAGGGCCCATTAGAACTAATGAGATTCATAGGATTGGACAGACCTCCAGTTGAAAATATGTCAGAAGATCCAGCTGGTCAAAATCGAAGTGACTTGATGATTTGCATAGGTGCTATATTGAGTGTTGTGAAGCGGTGTTCCATTCCAGATGATCCAGACCGTGCTGCAAGAGGTAGCTTTGTTGCTGCACTCAGCGAAAGCGGAAATCCAGTATACAGGAATCCTGCCACACCTCATGTAATTCCACTTCTGCCTACACTTTTTGCATTACTCAGGGTAATGAATGCGCTGTTCACTCCTACGGCATTAGCAGCTTTATCAGAGGTAAGAAAATAACTAATAAACTTCGTTATTAAATAATGTTCTCCTTAATTAATTAGAAAAGAATCTAATAAATGCTGTTTTTAGGGATACAAAAATGCTCATGAACTACTGGAATCCGAAAAAGCAAATTTATTAGGTTTAAATGTAACAAATGATAATGCTTCTGAACCTGATCAATCTTCGAGTAATGCTTTAGTCCGAATGCAATCATTTCTCAGTACTGTTCATGATCAATGCTACCACATGTTAGGTAGTGGATGCCATATGATTGGAAGAGACTTTTATCAATTACCTGGTTTGGCACCAGCGCTTATTAATTCAGTTTTCTCTAATATGGAGGTGATTCTTTTTTGTCCTCGTTCTCATTGCTTTAGAGAAGTGTATTTACATTTTAAAACTTATTCGTTCGTTTCAGATGATTCCAGACTATAGATTACGACCTATCATACGTGTCTTCATGAAACCATTTATATATTCCTGCCCTCCTGCATTTTATGAAAGTGTTCTTGTACCCGTACTAGCTCATGTTTCTACACATAGTAATACATTGTTTTCTTTTATCCTTGCGTTTTGCAGTTCTTCTTTGTCAACATGTGTTAATATAACATTTTTATTGTATTTTTAGTGTGCCAAAGACTAAGTGCCAAATGGCAGTATATTGCACATCTTTACGAATCTGGTGGTTTAGATGAAGAAAATACTGACACACAAGAAGTTATTGCTGACATGTTAAATCGACATTTAACGAGAGACTTTGTAGATGTACTCAAAGTAGCCCTCGTTGGAGGTGCTGCTAGTGATGCGACGCCTCCTGACACAATGGAACACGAAATGGGAGGAATGGCAATAGACCCTCCTTCATCGCGTGGTAACAGCATAGTCGCTGAAGTGGTCAGTGAATTGGGTACCTTCGTTCTCCGACATCCATCTACATGTCACAGTGTTGTCTTATGCGTATTAGGGTAATGAATATTTTCAGTGTAATAATGTTTTTGTTTAGATATGAAAACAAATAAGATTTCAGATTAACAATATTTATTGTATAACAGGGCTTTGACTTGGAATGATTCAAATGCCAGTTTGAAAGCCACAATGCTAACTGGGCCAGTAGTACGAGCGTTAGCGGCTGATGGTAGTCTAACACCTGCTATGGCTGCTCATATTATGGTAGCTATCCTCCAAGGTTTACAGCTTCATGGACAACACGAAGCTAACCAGGGTTCCCTCGTAACTTTGGGTACACAAGTTTATGAATGTTTACGACCTAAATTCCCCAATATTATTGAAGTAATGCAAAAGATTCCGGGTATCAATCCTACCGATTTACAACGTTTCGACGAAAAGATGGCCGTAGTTAGTACTAAAGGAAATAAAGTTGAAAAAGGAAAGAAGGATCTTTTTAGGAAGATTACAAACCAGGTAAAATTCGACAAAGTCATTTTAGAAAAGAATGAAACAAAAAGGTGTTGTTAGGTAAACGCGTATTATGTGATATTTGTTACAGCTCATTGGTCGAAGTGTTGGTCAGTTATTCCGTAAAGAAGTAAAAATAGATAATTTACCACGAATAGAAGTTTTTGGAAAATCGCAACAAATACGTGTGGACGATATATCAAATAATTCGACTGACAGTGGTATCGCCGCTTTATTTGCAGGACCTACGTAGCAGAAACTACATTTAGATGGCCATATCACAAACATTTGGTCTCAATTGATAAATAACAATAAGTCATCGTGAAAACGACTTCCTACAGAAAAAAGATTGAACTATAAATAAGGAAATTCTCTACCGAAAATAAGATGTTATAGAATAAGTTTCCTTCGAGCAATTTTTTTTAATTATTCGTGAGGTTGAACGTGTGCATACAGTCTGGATTAGCTCGATGACACGTACGCAAATTTTATAATGTATGTGTCACAGATATAAAATAAAACTGATAAGATTACGCTTACACACGCATTCAACTTCATTTGTGAATAGTTTGTAAAAAAATCCAATGCTATTTATGAGAACCATCTTATTTTTGGTTTAGGATTTTAACATAAGCAAGAAACATTTTGTTCGATGAGTATCCAGGATGCGAGTGCGCGAGAATGTGTGTGTATGAATGGTGTGCATGGTGTGCATGGTGTGTAGAAGTACGAATTTGTAACATAAGAAAGACGTTCGTCGTTAAAGAACAATATGCAACACATCTGATATGACAAATTTATACAAAAAAAAGTTTAATAATTGGGCAATTACATATTAAGTTGCACGCATTTATTTTATTCTTTTTCATTCGCATAAAATTTCTTATAACAATGTAAAACAGCAGCATGATTTTAAACAATCACACAATCTGTAGAACAGTTTTGTAAACAATATTTCGCTATAATATAATACAGAGGTTGTTGATTTATATAAAACAATTTTTACAATTTGGTATAAAAATTTATATGCAAATCATTTATAATTGTTCTCGAACAAGTAAAATGTGTACATTTTTTGGCACTTTTTAAAAGCGCTGTTATAATATAATATCTCAAATCAATATTCGTGTTCTAAATGTTTCATTTAGGGGTTTATGCTATTTGAAAAAATTCAAAGAACATTCTTTACGTATTGAATTATTTCATTAAATGCAGATTTTATTTGCGGTTGGTGAGAATGTAGCATTCCATTTACTAACATTGTTCAATGTTAACTATTCATTGAAAAAGTGATATTTTCTTATTTAGTTATTACTCTTTTTCGAGTTATTTTTAATTAGTTTTATTAGTGTAGAAACTAGTATCTTAACTATCGCACGAAGTTTCGATTAACACTTTGTAATACGATCGCCATCGTGTATTTAATAGTGACAGTATTACATATGAAATCATGGATATTACTAATTGGTCACTAAATATGCGACAATCAGCGCAAATAGAATTTAAGTGACAGAAATAATGTAGGAATTGATCACGATAAAATGTTTAACAAAAAATAATTACAGTAATGAGTATACAGAGATTTAAAAATTATGATAATTTTTATTAGATATGTTGATGTATTTGAAAAATTACAAGTATCAATACTCAATATTAAAGTACGTTAGATACAGTTAATCTACCTATTATATTGAAAGTTACATTTATTTAAAATAAAAATTTACAAAGAGTTATATTTTGCCACAAAATAGTACTAAAATTTGTATGACAAAATAAAAATCTTTATCGATTTAAGATTTTATAAAATAGTTAAATTGACTATAGTATTAGGTACTAAGCAGATTTATTTTCCCTAATATAAATATACATTCATAAAAATTATGAAACCCATACTTATTTCGTTAAAGTACAAATAGAATCAAAAATATGGAGGGGGTTTTATTTACCCTTATAGATAACTGTTGCAATACACTTGCAGTTACAATAACAAAAGGGATTTTGGTTTCGTTTCAAATATCATTTCTCATACATCCCTTTTAATACTTCAGAAAAAATAATCGTTAGGTAAAAAAATATGATGGAATGCTAATTTATGAAACACGCCTTTATTAATAACATGGCAATCTGATGTAAATCCTGAAACACTGTTACAAAAGGATTTCAATAATTTATTTCTATCGTTGTTTAACTGGAATAGAATGCTATGTTCACATGAAATTACTAAGGTATTATATTTTTGAGAATTGTAGCAACCTTAAAACAGGTTTCTTTGTGGTTTAATCTCAACTATATAAAAAATCAATAAAAAGCGATTCAGAATTGCATTCGCTTGATTGGCGTATATAAAATTTAATAATTGAATAAGTATATAAGAATGTTCTTCTATTACCAGAAATCTATAGTTCTTAAAAATCATTGAATTTTATGCATTATTGAAAGATGGACTATAAGGTGAACGTTGATATTTCACTTCCCTGCGCATTTTTTTCAAAATTAAACCTAGGCTTATAAAGAACTCTAAATCCCTTATAATAATCAATAATAGGTATGCATATTAGATTAAATAAAAATCTTCGATCTCACTAATCGTAAAATCTCTGCATGAAACTCGAGGTACTTTGTTATGACACTTTGTTGACACTTCATAAGCGACTTGACTCTTTTCCAAATCCAGTTTTCAGTGCAACTAATTTTCTGATCAATTATTCGCGCTGATAGAAACAAATGAACTATATAATCTCATCGAAATTGGAGGAATAAAGAGAAGAAAATATAAGACTGATACTTCATAACGAGATAACTAATCGTTATTGAATAAGTCACACGTTTACTAGGAACTGTCGACGATGACCATTACGTTGATCATGTATTCGTTCATTCGTTCATTCGCGTCGTTCGTTCATACAGATAACACACAAACAACAAAGATGCGTACTATTTATCTGAATAAATGTCTCGCGTAGATTATATTCAAAGCAATATACAAAGGAAATTTTGTCTTAATTTGAAAACGAATCGGATTTTGTACTTTACAAAGGTAGGTTTTGGTAGGTTTCCCATCATATGCTCTTAAATTACAGAAAAAAAAGAAACTACAGCGAACATTTCATTAGAAATAAATATCTTTAATGAGCGAGCAATCGAAGAGCAAGGTACTTCTTACGTTATTCGCTTGTAAGATTGACGGTTCACCGCGAATTTATACAATTTATTACGAGATCGAAATATCATTAGAAGTATGACCGGAAAAGATCGTACGCTCGGTGTACGTGAAGTGTAACGTGAATATTGAAAAATTCGTAGACAAATCGTTTTGATTTGATCGTTAGGCGTTCGAGATTTACTTTTAAGCACTCGTCGTTGCATTAATATCGTTCTTCTTTCCTACTAATAAAAACACATCCATATTATCTTTTCCTTTAACATAAACTTGGCCACGCGGTTCAAATTCATATCGTTCTGAAAGGACGTCCAATGAGTTCTTGGCTACCTGTATCCTTCCAGCGACTCCGGTAGAATCCATTCTGGACGCTATGTTTACAGCGTCACCCCAAATGTCATAATACAACTTGGTAGCTCCGATTACGCCGGCAGTAACATCGCCGTAATTAAAACCGATTCTCAAAATTAGTTTAAAGCCTAACAAATCTTTGTTAAAGTCATATATTACTTTATGCATCGCCATAGCAAAGTCTACCAATTGAAAAATATGCGTGTGCTCGTGGTCACTTTGTTGCCTAACTTGCGGATTTAAGCCGCTTGCTGCCATAAATGTGCTACCGATGGTTTTAATCTTCTCCACGTTCGAGAATTCTTGCTTTTCTAAAAGCTCATCAAAGTCACCAATGAGTTCGTTGAGCACACGTAAATACTCTTTACCACCTAAATATGACTCATCATAAAGTTCATTGAAGTTCACTATACTCGCAAAGATAATTCCTACGGTCTTGTGATTTTGCGAATATTTCGCGGTCGTTTTCAATTGATCGGCAACATATTTCGGTATAATATTGTGCAAAAGCCAATCAGCTTGGTTCTTCATCGATTGTACACGACTTTTATCTCGTGCTGCTACGGCATTCCCGTGAAAGCTCAACCGATAACTGATCTCAAATTCGCGATTTAAAAACCAAACTAGTAATAGCAGTAGTATCATATCTAAAAAAATTTCAGAGTTGTACAATCTTTCGTTGTATTTCGTTTCCGCTTCTCGTTGTCTCATGAGGGTGAGTCTAGATTCATGAACAAGAGTATTGTCAAATCCTTCTTTCGCAGTAGTCTCGCTGATTAGATTTATACTTAAATTAGCGACTTGTTGATTTTGCAAAAAATTTAGATAATGCATCGAGTCGTTAGCAAATTGATTACCGAGATTCTCTTGACTATGCGATACGTGAGCCACTACAAGAAAAAGAAACAACATACCCATAAAGGTTACTAAGAAATTCTTCATCCAACAATTGAGTTGTGTGAAATTGCAAAAATGAACTAGGCCAACGAAAATCAAGTAACCGTAATAATATTCGAAATTATTCAAATTATGAAAATTGCTGCACGTGTAATTGAGCAGGATAGACGTACTCGGTAAACCAACTAAAATCGCGCCGCAGATATGCCAGGGATACCATTGTGAAAAGAATTGAAATATTTCTTGTATTAGTGTCGAATGAACCATATTCGGATATAAAAGCTGACGGACACAAAGTGACACCGCTATAATCTGAATCGCAGTGGCACATACTAAGAAAATCATGTAGTATAATGTCGGCTCGCAAAGTAAAAACAGCGAAATCGAGACGGCAGTGTAGACCAACGCCGATATTAAAATATCAAAATACGTATTGAACCTCGAGGTAGCCAGAGTGGGTGGATTACCACTGATACATTCGTTGACTTTATGAGCATTTTCTCTATATTCCTTTTCCATTTCCTTATTTTTGAAGAAAAGTGTCACGCTTGAAAGTGGTGGTTTCACAAAATATGATCGTTGAGAACTCACGTTATCTTGAACGCATCTTTGTAAAAAAAATCGTGTAAGTCTCATAGCTACTCTTTAAAGTTAATAAAATGAAATTAATATAATATATTCACCTGATTAATTGTAGATCAGATTGCTTTCTTAACTTATGAAAACATGCACCAAAAGTATCCGTAACTGCTGGAGGAAACGGATAGGGTGGTACCGAGGACGATGGCTCATGAACAGAGTTCAACGTTGAACTAGAAGTATAATAGCCACTCACTCTATGTGCCAATAAGTCTCCCTGAGCCATACCATTCATCAAAAATAACTAAAATATGAAAATTAACCGCTGAAGAAAAAAGAATGTACTAACATTGCAAATGAATAGTTTTAACTTGAAATTATATTACCATCACAGATAAGTTACAAGATATCTAATATTCAATATAGATTTCTCATATTGAATTAGGGATTTATGAGAACTCATCTCTTTTTTTATAATAATACAAACGAAATACTCGCATTCTTGCTATATTTAATTTGTACACAATTCATGAAACAATAGATGTAGAGGTTTATTTAGTAATAACACACATTGAGCTTTATATCTTGCAAATACCGTTTCATGTTTTACTATATTTTCAAATAATAATACCTGTTGTTGTATACTGCTGCGTCTACTATTACTTCTGATTCCAGAGTCTTTTCTACTACACATTGAAGAGGCACGACTGAGTGGCTCTTGACCAGATAATAAAGGACTAGAAGGTACAGGGTTTGGATCCATTTCAATGTCATTCTGAGACGTATTCTGTAACGATATATAACTTATATACAAATGAGATAATATAGCTGAACAATGTATATAAAACTTTATCGACGTAATTGACCTGCCTAAATCCATTACGATCTTCGTATGATTGAGATTCAATTTTCGATCGTTCAGCAATAATGGCTTTGGCTTCCTCCATTTCTAACGGGGTCATTTCTTCTGTAGTCCGTTGTCTTTGTAAGTATTTCCACGGTTTATTCCGTACTTTTTTCTTTCCGTAACTAGCAACGGATATAGGACTTTTATTCGCATTTTCTTTCCCATCTCCAGTATCGGTATCTCCATTTTCAGAGTCTAAGATACTCGGTAGAGAATTTGCTTTCATTCTATAACTATTTGTGTTAGTAACCATATGGAGATAATGATATTTTGATTTAGATTGACTATTGCAAGAGGCCACGCGATGACGTGATTGCATCAAAGGAGATATACTCTTTGGGGACACAATGTTAGTTATGAATTGACTGGTGAAATCTGATTTTCGCCCTTTGATAAAGTAGGTTTTTATACCTAGAATAAGAATGTATTTTTTATATTGTTGCTAGAAACTGTTCCTACCCACAGTTTTTCATAATTAATAATTGTATACCATTTATCAGATCCCCTTCTTCTGTAATGTATTGATCATTCAAAAAACTCAATGTGTTTTCACTTAAATGAACTCTTCCTGGTTTTCCAGTGCTTTCTAACTTATTTGCCAATGTCACATCATTAGACCAAACATCGAATTTAAATCTTTTAGTACCTACAATTCCACATAAGACAGTCCCAGTGTGTACCCCTACCCTCATGTTAACACCTTCTCTTCTTTCTATATCAAACTGTTTTATAGCTTCTATCATAGCTGTTCAAGAATATACGTGGATTATTTTGTACATCTATGTTACTTTTTTAAAACGTTAAACAAAAGGTAAATTACCTAATCCCATTTCGATACAGCATTTCGCATGATCAGGTCTTGGTTCTGGGCATCCGCTTACGCAATAATAACAATCCCCTAACGTTGAAATTTTCTCACACCCGTGATGTTCACACAAATCATCGAATCTCTCAAACAGATCGTTTAAAATGCCTACCAATTCTTCTGCACTTTTATTGGAACTCATTCGAGTAAACCCAACAATATCAGCAAATAAAATACTAACATTTTCCATCGAATGCATATTGAAAGGACGAAATAGTGAACGTATATCTGTATTATTGGACGGTATAGACCCTTTCTTCAGAGAATCTTCACGCTCCCTTTCCCGCTCACTTTCTTCCATTAACCAGTCTGCGACTTTCGGTGGCATTACCGAGTGAATCATTTTTTCTTTAAGTTGCTTCTCCATTTCTAGTTGACGGCGAACTAATAGCGATTGACCAACTTTCATAAATGTACCGCGCATTCTTACAAAAGTCATTATTAAAATATGTATTCCTATCAAATGAATGCAAACTTGCATCAGGATTCTTATTCCGAGACTTGTAGAAAAATAATTATCATCTGAGAATGAACGACTGGATATGTTGCTACTTAAAAAATAACTTGACATTTCATCACTTTTATGGGGCATTATATTTTCTCTCAATACTGAGGTTGTACTGTTTGCACCTTTGGAAATTAAGTCATTAGAAGAAGCATTTATAGTAGAATTAATATTAGCTAATGTTGATATTATGCTGGAATTCAAATTCTTTAAAACACTTGTATTGTTTAAAGCTTCAGACAATTTTCCGATTACAGCTTGGGTAGGCAACTTCGGTTCAAGCACAGATAACAGTTCTGAATGTTGAAACAACGGTACTGTTTTCGTGTTTGCTCTTGCATATTCGTTGTCATTACGCATCACATTTGAAAATTGACTGTCGCTGAAATTCCTCAATATTTTGGTATAATCTAGTACAGAATTATTTCCCGTAGAATTAACTGATAAACTATAATCGCTAAAAAACTTCTCCCTTGCAGTTTTTGTACCATATAAGTAGGCAGTCAAAAATTCAAATAAGAAGGAGTAAACTGTAGATATACCCACACAAACATACAATGGCATCGGTAATACAGTGTAAATCAATAATAAAATCTCCGAGCACAATGCAAAATGTCCGACTAGAGTTAAGCCATCTATGTAAGGTGGTACTATTGCAAGAAAAAGTAATGATAAGATACAAAGCATAGATGCAACTCCTAGCGAAATTTGTAACACATAGGTTCTATAATAGTCTGTATGCGTTAAGTATAAGACTGCTGAAACCATTGCACCAATAATTGTAAATACTACTGTTATGATTGGCCATGTTGTAGTATTATATTCTGTTCCAATTACAATAAAATATGCCAACCATGATAAAGAAACCAATAAAATATATGTCAAGGCATATCTAAAATATATATATAGTATATGTATAATACAAATTATATCTCTAACTATAAAACAGACTAAACAGTATTGTACTACATACCGAAATCTTAATCTAATTTGTGGAAAGGCACTTCTTTTAAATTGTTCTTCAAGTATTTCTGAATCAAATTTTGGATTCCACCAAGATCTTGGAGCTGCTCGTTCAAATGGTACTGGAAGGCTAATTCCACAACATCCTAGACCTTGACCGCTATGTGCCAAATATGTTTGTATATACGGTGCTAGAGATATATGAATTTCATCTGCAGCACCTTCGCTATCATCTTTAGCTCTTGTAAAACTAACAGACGAGCTACGTTTTCGATTTAAAGGAGGTGTCATACTTGACATTCAAATAATACTAAAAACAAATGTAATTTTAATTTGTATTATTTATATAAAAAAATAAATCATTTTACAATATAACATACAATAAAAAAAATCAGTGTATAATTACGTGGTAAATGTATTGTAAAAGAAATGAACATTCTATCAAGATTATTTAAAAATATACATTTAAAACATGATTTTCAGTAATAGTCATATTACTGAATATATAGAAACATTTGTAATTTTAATTTGTGTTTATACTTAAAAAATAATTTAACAGTTAGTGGATATATTAGGCTCATCCAATTACAATGAAGGAAGTTATAGAATATTTATTTCAAATGACAGTGTATTTCTTAACTTGATTTACAAAAAATGATGCTACCATAAAAAAGATATCCATAGTTATATACGATATTCCTTTTGATAAAAAAAACTTACAATCAGTTAATTCACTTCAATCACTGGCGAAATCGCCACAAAACTAAGGAAATCATCTTCCCCGCTGACATCGGAGATTCTTCGCTTAATCAGCTTGCTTTGAAAAATGTCATTTTGGCTTTTGACCTTTTTACGTGGCGTTCTCAGCGTACGTGAGAAGAATGATTGTTTTAAGCACCAAAACTGAAACCAATTCGTTGTAACGAGTTTACAATTATATACCATTAAAAATTCCCAAATGTTTCGAATTTTCTCTTCTATAATGCACCATGGCCATCTTGAATCTATCGATGACAGCGCCCACAAATAGAAAGCTCATGCATTAACAGATTCAATCATGCTTTACGAATGATGAGTTACACCACAGACGAGGTATAGGATAGACATTGCAAGCTTATGGGGCTCGGTGTCATATGTTCTGAATTACCAACTGTGTGAAAAATCAGAGGTTTTGCTCTGCCCTCTACGCCTAGGAACGGTCAATAGGAAAACTACATCAAGCATAATGATTAAAGTTGACCAAGTAGTACATATGATAAACTAGCATACAAACGTATTGGTTGCAATGTTGCCATGTCTTCAAACTTCCAAATGTGCGAAACTACATATTAGTATTTTATGAATTTATGTCATATAGTACATTTATTAACGTTTTAAAGTTATTAATACATAGTTTTAAATACAAATGGTTTATAATTCATAAAACATTTTAAAATGTATTATCCGAATTACTCGTAAATTATTATCTGACAATATTATTAATAAAAATATCATATTTTTACGAATTCTTTCTAATATTTTTAAACAAATCCGAACAATCAAGCCTGTAAAGTTTTTCATTTTTTATAAGAACTAGATAATTAAAATCCGTTTATATTATTGTTCTATGTTGTATCTATAATTATAAGTGAACAATATTAAAATTATTCGCTTCTTTGATCAATTGTGTTTAAATTTCTGTTTTAAGTTATTGCATTATTTTACTGTTGAAATGTCATGTTGCTACATTATTCTAATTCCTATCATTTATAGCGCTGCGATGCAAAATCAACCTAAGTCGATATGACAAGATGTGACACAAAAATAATAAGGGGTCCTAGAAACCCCAAGGTGTAACAAAATTTTACATTACTTGTTATGTCTATCTTACACCTCATCTACGGTTGCACTGACAACAGAATTTTTAGTACCAATACTTTAGGAAGATATTCTATGATTTAACCGTAAATATTCGTAAGCATGTTCCAACATCTTCCAACAGAGGGCTATGAGTTTATTCTCGCAAGTTCTCAAATCACAACATTTTTAGATATGGTGTAGGGAAATTTATGTTATACTTTTGGAAAATTCACTTCTTGTAGAGTGAAGTGAGCAATTGTTGTTTAAAATTAAACGTATCTTTCATGGAACGTTAGAAGTACATAAACAAGCTCTTCAAGTAAAAAGTACAAATTTTGTTAAAAATTATGAAGTTATGGATACGAATTATATTGGAATGGGTACGTAATAATAGTATATATATTAATATTTTTTGAGAAATTAAATTATATCGCTTATATAAATCATTCTGAAATATATATGAGGTCGTTTAAAAATGTTTTGTACATTTCACAGAATACAATTCTAATACTTATTATGCGTTTGTCTTTTATGTGGAGCACCTAAATATTTATTTCCTCTATTAAGCATTATGTATCCTTAATGTTTAATTACATTTATAAAATAACTTCTTCTTTTGTAAAAATTGATTTCTCTGACCACTTTCTCATGTGATAAAATTGGTGTAGAAATACGTAAATTAATATTATTTTAAGAAATACAAATAATTATAATAAAACGTGCACCCTTTAATCTACTATAAATATAAAACCATTATAATTTCAGCTCAACTGCTTAGATGTGTTAGAGATAAATGTGAAAAACTTAAAAGAATTAGAAGACGGAAAATTATACAAAAAGTTGTTGGATTTATGGTAAAAATTTATTTTATTATTTTTACTCTTGCATAAGAACATTAATAATATAATCATACCAATAACTTGTTTTTATATGTTAAATATGAAATATGTTTACGT